CTCCCACCTCTAATGACGTGTCAGCATGTAAAGTCAAATACAACCAACAAAGATTTCCCCAAGAAGGTGAAAGTCACTTTTAATTTGAGAGGGAGAGGAAGTGGGGAGAGAAGGGGAAGGGAAGGAGGAAGAGGAAGAGAAGGGGAGAGAAAGAGAGAGAGAAAAGAGAGAGAGAGAGAGAGAGAGAGAGAACCTTTCCTACATGCAAGCCATCTCAATGCCCTGAACCTCCTTCTAGAATTCTCCAACCATATACTAAACATTACTAGTTTTGTTTGGACATAAACCTCTATGGAAGTTCAGTTGGTTTTGCTCCTTTTCAGTCATCAAAATAAAAATATAGTCTTATACAGGAACATCACTGTTTAGTTTTAGGACCACCAAGTCTAGCCTTCCTCTATTCTTTTTTCTTCTCTATCATAACCACACAGAACAGATCAATTAGCATGTCTTAAACTTGGGAACTTTCCATACACAATAATTCTATAGTTTTCCATCCCAATGTTCTTCCTCTCTCCCAACTCTGATGGCAATCCTGCTGTTTGTCAAGGGAAATGCCAGTTACTTCTTTGGAGGTGAGACCTGAGCACATGATTTGATTAAGACTATATCTAATCTAGGCCCTTGCAGACAAAGACACATTTTGGGCTATTGTGGCATAAGAAAGAAATCACTGTAGCATTCACTCCTATGGATGATCACTGTTTATAAATCATCCACTTCAGACCAATGTGTCTCTATACCTTGGGAAGAAATAGTTGACTAACTGATCATTACTAGGTCTTTGGTTGGGACTCCTGGCTACCTTGGCAAAGGGTGTTCTCCAAGATAACCTTGTGAGGGAACCCATAAGAGATCCACACTTTTTTACTTTCTCACCTGACATGGGTCACTTAACGGTATCATTAAGAACAGTAAGAACAAGAAAAACTAGGTTGGAATGCCTGTGTGTGTCCGGCATTAAATCAATTTCAATATAGCAAAGAATTGTTCATTATCCCAAAGCATCTTTTTTTTTTTTTTTTTTTCCGGTCACGGGGCTTGAACTCTGGGCCTGGGCACTGTCCCTCAGCTCTTTAGCTCAAGGCAAGCACTCTACCACTTGAGCCACAGCACCATTTCGTTTTCTGGTGGTTTATTAGCAATAAGAGTCTCATGGACTTTCCTGCCCAGGCTGGCTTTGAACCATATATCCTTAGATCTCAGCCTCCAGAGCAGCTAAGATTACAGGTGTGAGCCACTGGCTCCCAGCCCAAAGCATCTTAAGACAGACACAGAGGTACGAGAACTGATATTACTTGTTGTATTTGTGATTCAATTCTTCTCAGATGAGAGTTTATGTGATGTTAGGAGTTGACTTGGGTTTGTATTTGTGTGTGTATGTGTTTCTCTCCCCCCCTTCCCCCCCTCCCTCCCCCACCTTTGTTTTAGTTTTCCACATAACAATAAACAACAGGGAAACATGGATGTGTTTCTTTCATTCTCCACTTTGGATAAACAAGTAAATCAAAAGAGCCCATTTCAAATCCCTCTTATTCAGTATCTGCACCTCAGAAAATGAAAGCAATGCTAGTGGTAATGTTGTGCTTTCTGCCTCTGAGATCTCTGGTGAGTTGACCTGATTTTATAGCCCTTTAACCCAAGGAAGGGAGATTCTTTCCCCTCTGCCTCTCCTCCACTCCATAACTGAGTGGCTTAGGAGATCTGTAACTGGGCTGAAGCAGCTGTTGGCTTCATGCCCTCTTCTAACTTGATTATTCTTTGGACACGTTAGGCAAGCATTAGTGATTGATAATGACGCTAATTAACCCCTTTCCTTTCCAAACAGTAAACGACTGCCAGCAGGATGCTGCAAACAATAAATATAAAGCACTGCATACATCAATATCTGTTTAAAGCACAACTTCATTTGGGTACATCGAACTGTCCTGCATTCACTGAACAATTCAGTATTTATTCAAGCACTTCTCCAAAAAGCCAGAGAGAAGGAGGGTAGGGTGCTGAGGAACAGAGAGAGTTAAGAAAAGGGCCCATGGCTTTAAGATCACAAAATGTTGTCATACCTGTCAGTTACAGCAAAGTTAAGCTTTAATGGAAACCATGCAGGGTTTTTTTTTTTTTTTTAATTTCAGGTCTATACTTTTTAGAAACTTAATTAATCCAGCTTTGCTCTTAACCTATTTAAACTTAACACAAGGCTGATGAGCACATAGGATTTGTTCTTTCTGGGAAAACTCATCTCTCCTAACATAGAATTATTGTGAATTTACTTTGGCCTGAAAAAGGAACGAGGAGACATTGTTTTGTTCCACGGTAAAATTTGGACTTTAAGCACAATTTAGGGGAAACCAGGGCAAATTGGATCTGATTATATAGGCTACCATAACCTGAGTTGTAAAGAAATGTACATTAAATTTGGAATTTTGATAAATGAATATTCCTAGCAAGTGAATAAAATGTATTCAATTAACTAAAACCCTGTGCACTTCTGAACTGAAGTGGAATCGACTGTAATTGATTTATTTGAAACCAGAGGTTAAGGACTGAATTAGCTAAGTACAACTGGGTATTTCAAGCCACTAACTTCTCAAATGTCAAATCCCTTCTATTTTAAATATTATTTCAGCTGCGGGGCATTGCAGTCTTGATGGTAGTTCCATCAAGAACGCAAATTATATTAATATTCGATTTGGGGCAGGAGTGAGTTGGATTGTGATTTTTAAAGGGTGTTGGAGAAAAGAGAGGGTTAATGATGACTACCAACCGAGAAGGCACTGTGGTTCCATAAAACTTGGGAGTGGTAATTAGCATAGCCTAGCAGCCAGCATCTTTATAACTGAACTATGTATCCTAATTTAGTTTAACCCAAAGAGAAGCACTGTTGTTAGTGTATAAACACCTGACCTGTCAAGTAATCACCACGTGCTTTAGGAAGTATACAATAATCACAAGAGAGAAAGCCAAAACCCACAGAGCCTTTGCTTGATCCAGAAAAAAAAAACCATATATATGTGGTTTTGATTATAGCCTCCCTAATCCCTCATCCCTTAAAGATACATCCGTCCTTTGAATTTTTTTTTTTAAGAAAAAGAGCGTGGCAGTGTGATGATCCTCAAAAAAATGTCCAGTTACAAGAATAAAAACTACTAATTCCCTGAATTTGGCAACCATTGTTTATTATGACCTTGCCATGTTCTAACCCACTATTTCCTTTCTATCCTTCTCAGGATGCAAGGATTATATTGGGTTCAGGTTTTCCAACATAACAGCATCTGTAAATCCAGATATGAATGAATGGTATTTAATAAGATTGTTTTCGTTTTAGAATGAGTATTTATGTGTCATTGGAGAAAGAGCAGCAATGTATGGCTGTTTACGAATGCTATTGTGCCTGAGGTTAGGCTCTCCCCCACACAATCTGAGATGAAGCCAAGAAAAACAGCCCTGATAGACAATGCTTCACTTCACCTGCTACGATCCTGTGTGCATTTCATTTCTGTCAAGAGTATGTACAGTTAGGGTTCATTCGCCTCATTATTTTGTTACATCTACGTTACAGTTAACCAGTCTCTCTAGGAAATAATAAATAACCACTTTAAAAAACAATTGCTGCCTTGCGTTCCTAGAGTACAGTTTCCATATGAATTTGAAAAAAAAAAACACCACTATTGTTATGATTTCTCTGGCTTTGGAAAACAGAATTTAGACTCCACCAACTCTCATTCATCGAGATTGATTTTACACTGCTTTCCATAAGGAGATTAGAAAGCAGAAGGATGCAGAATGGACTGTGAGGGTCGGCTCCCCCAGGTCTTCAGAACCACAAGAACAAACATTAAATCCCTCTGGTGTGTCTACCTAGATCCTTCCCTATAAACCTTCCAGTTAACACAACCCCCATTTTCTTGGTTAAAAATCCCCTCCTCACTTGTAAAGAATTTCTACATCAGTTTAGAAAAGCTCAAAATGCATCATCTTTCTGTACAGGAAGTCCTCCCTTCTCTCAGAGGCAGGACACCACCCTGTTATTGTGGAAGACAGATAGATCAGCGAGGTCTGCATGGCCAAACATCACAGCCCTCCCCCAACCCTACTTCAGAGACCATTTTGTATTTTTAAAAAGATCCCAGAAGGTAGATAGGCATGTAGGGGCAGGCAGAGAAGATTCCCAGGATCAACAGAAGGTTCCACTCCCCTGTGCTAATTCCAGAGCTACTTAGAATAGCACAGGAGTAAATTCATGTCTAGATAAGATACTAAAGTAAATCGGAGGCAAATTACCCTTCTTTCTTCTGTTCCATGTATATTTCTGGCACTGTTCCCTTTTCTTCCCACCACTACCACCACCACCACCAAAAAAAAAAAAAAGTAGAGCTAGTTTGAGTGCTTGGCATGACTTAGCCACAGAAAAGCCTGGGTAAGACAAGTAAAGGTTGATGTGCACATTTCTTTTGTGCTGATGAATTAAGGATTTGAATTTCAGTTATCTTTAGAGATAGATTCCAAAGCAATGGGGGGAGGAGGGTTTTGGAGGGGAAGAAAGGACCATGGGAAAGGAGGTCTTCATCCATTCTTTGGTTCTGAAAGTTTTATATTTGCATTTCCAAAAAAGGCAAATAAAAAACCTAAAGGATCAACATAAATAAAATAAAACTTTATTTTTAATAATAAAATTAATGTTTCTAGTAAGGGAAAGATAGTATGTCATTCCTTTAGCAGTACAAACAATCTTTTATCCAAAAGAATACATTGGGTTTTATTGTGTCGTTTGTCTGAATACAGACTCAGTGGAATATCTAAATGATACCCTGCTCTGAACTCCAAGTTGAAAGTAAGTTTTTATTATACTTGAGGGAAACAATGGGTTCAGCTGCTTATTGCAAGGAGCAATTGCCAAGGGAGAGTTAAACTCAATTACTGTAACCATACTGAATAAAAAATACTGCCAAGAACAAAAATACGCTTGGGTAAAGACAGCCACTGAATAAAAAAAATCGACATAAAGCGTATCAAATATTTATTTATCTGGGCAACAAAGAACTATGATACATTGACAGGCATGAAAACTACTGCCAGCACAACTCAATACAATACAACTAGAACTGCTTCCAATATGGCCAGTGAAAAATACAGAATACCAGGTGGTCCCAAATGTTTGAAGTTCTTGGAACAAAAAGAGTGAGAGAGAGAGAGAGAGAGAGAGAGAGAGAGAGAGAGAGAGGAAAGAGAGGGAGAGGGAGAGAGGGAAAAAAATCCCTAACCCTTGGTTTAAAGACAATATTCATTTATTGCTCAAATGATGCTTTTAAGGGAGCATAGTGGAATAAAATAAACTTTTTTTTTCTCCCCACAATACATAGAAGGGTTAGCAAACCACTTAAGTTTAAAAATCTTTCCAGATTCCAATATCACATTTTGTCTTTCAGTTTAATGGAAAGCTAAATGTATAATACTAATTATATATAAAATTTTATTTTACCTTTTTAAAATCTGTTCAGTTGTTTCATTGTCTCTTTAACATGCTACAAGAAAGCTAAATGAATCCCAGAGGGAGGAAAATATCCCCCTCAACCTTGGATTTCTAAGTACCATGAGCCACATGAAGAACTAATAAGATTCAAAACCCACTAAACAAGAGGTAAACAAGATCACCAGATAAATAAAAAAAGGCTTAAAACAGACTCACCATATTTACAAATCCCATTAAATTACACATAAATAAATATATACAGAGACGTGAACACTGATCCCCTAGAGCTGTGAATCGCATTGCCAGAAAGAGAGTTCAAGTTGGTCGCTTTACCTTGCAGAGGGAAAACTTCTACAACTGAAAACAGGACATAGAACTTGGTGTGTTTGTGTTCAAGTTTATTCACAATACTGATAAAAATGTCATTATGCTCTTCGCAGTGTGTGTGTGTGTGTGTGTGTGTGTGTGTGTGTGTGTGTGTTTTAAAGTATGGCTACAAATCTGAACTGAAGTATATAAGGGAAGTGGGTGATTCAGTCCCATGAAGCTCATATAATTTTTTTTAAGTTACTATGTCTTTTTTTTTTTTTAGAAAAAAAAAGTTTTAAACGTCTGTTGTTGATGATCTGGTGGGTTTTCTTTAAAAAGAACAAAAAAAGGAGGGGAGGGGGAAAAAAAGGTTGACACACTGGACAGAACTTTTCTTTGCTGGCTTCACGGCCTGTTCTGTTCTCTTAGGCTCCACAGGAGGGCAAGGGGGTGTTGGTGCTGAAGGGGAAGTCGAGGGGGGGGGGGGAGCTGCGTGGGCAGCGGCTGCCCCACTGGCAGTGGAGAGAGCTGTCCCGAGGGTTCGGGGTTTCGCAGGGCGGCAGCAGCAGCAGCGCGCAGCGCAGCAGCGGTAGCAGCAGAAGTTGGGGGTGACTGATCCAGGGGCTGTCACCTGCCAGGTGCGGGGGGGAGGAGGGGAGGTCGCCAGAGGGCTGGTGAGGCGGGAGGGGGGGCAGGGCGGGAGCAGAGCCTCACTTTCTGTGCTTCTCTTCTTTGTCACTGCTTTTGGCGCTGTTGTCCGTGTGGCTGTTGGGGTTGTTGCTGAGGTACATTTTGTCCATGGCCTTGAGTGCCTCGGTGAGATAGTTCTGCAGGGCCGTGACCGCTGCGCACACTGCCGGGCTGCCGAAGCCGTGGGAGATGAGGTTGAAATGAGTCAAGCAGCTCTGGATCCCAGGCTCCAGGATGGGGTTGGGCCGCGAGTTCCCCAAGGGAGATCGGTCCTGAGCCAGCAGGTCTGTGAACTCTTTGCATATCTGTCTGCAGCGCACGAGAAAGCAAAGCAGAGTGGGAGACAGGGAAGTGAGACTCCCTTTAGCAGGCAATCAAGGTGACCCCAGGGAGACATGATTCAAGGTAGGGTCCCCACCCTGCGCCTGACAGGACCAAGGCCACAGACACAGATCCAGTGAGGTCCTGTGACCTTTCAGCTTCCACAAAACCAGCTCCCCACCTTCCTTAGCTGCATGCCTTCCTACCTGCAAACGCCTCCCACACACCCAGCTTCCATGGCTCCCCATAGACACAAGACAACATTCCAGACATTGGATAAGGGAGAGAAGAAAAGGAAGGAGAGGAGGAAGGGAAGGAGGGAAAGAGAAAGAATGAAAGAAAGAAGGGAGAAGAAAGAGAAAGAAGGAAAGAAGGAAGGAAGGAAGGAAGGAAGGAAGGAAGGAAGGAAGGAAGGAAGGAAGGAAGGAAGGAAGGAAGGAAGGAAGGAAGGAAAAAGAAAAGTTGGAACAGAAGTTTGTCACCACATTGATACAACTTTCTTTCCAAAACATCATCCCGCATTCTTCCCTACTTCCTTGGAGAGCCCTCCAAGGAAGAAACAAAACTCTCCACCCTCATTCACCTCCAAATCAAACCAGGTGGAATTTGGACAGAAAGCTAAAACTTGGTTTAGGATGGGTTTTGTCTTAAAAAGTAAGAATTAGGGGCTGGGAATGTGGCTTACTGCTAGAGTGCTTGCCTAGCATACATGAGGGCCCAGGGTTCAATTCCTCAGTACCATATACAAAGAAAAAGCTGGAAGTGGCACTGTGGCTTAAGTGGCAGAGTGCTAGCCTTCAGCAAATGATGCTCAGGGACAGCGCCTAGGCCCTGAGTTCAAGCCCCAGGACTGGGAAAAAAATAAATAAAAAGTAATAATTATTTTAAAAATAAACCTTGAACATAAAAGCCAACCAAGAGTACAAAGTCCAGGGTTCAAGCCCCAGTGCCTGCACAAAAACACTCAAACAAATATAGACCTAATAAAAATAGATGTAATGCTTTTGCTCTGTAAAAAAAAAAAAAAAATAGGTGCCCAAAATCTGTTCCTTGAAAATAATTTTAAGATGGTTTTTTGGAAGAAAAGACAGACAGTTTTCCATCCCAACCCCAAATAAAAATTCTCCAGAGAAAATTGGGCATACACTTAAGAAGCCAGGGGATGAAGAAAAGTTGAAATTTCAACTTTAAAAGTCAGAAAAACAGGCAGATAAGGCCAATACCTAGGAACTTCTGCCCCCAAGTTTAACAGACGCTTCCCCAAAGAGCTATTCGCCAGCTGGGAAGGGGGGGGGGGGGAACTAGAGGAGAAGCACTGACTGGCTCCTTTCACCTAAGCCAGCTGATATCCTCAGAAACAGACCCAAGGCCTCAGCTTCTCCCCTCTGGTATCATGCCCTCCTGTGACACTGATTTTTGATAATTAAGGGTTTCTAAACAAGCCTTCTCATTTCCACAAAACATATCAAAACATTCATTTTCTTTTCACATACCACCTGGAGAAGACGGTTTCATCCAGCTACCAATAAGAATGTAACTTAGACCATTTTGAAACCTATTTGACATCTTGCCTGTAGGCTAAAACTTGTGTGTTGGGGGGGGGGGGCCAGTTTTGAGGAGGAAAGAGAAGAAATGGAACAAGAGCTTAGAATTGGAACTAGGACACCTTCTGGCTCCTAGATTTTGCAGGCCTTTGCTTGACCTTTGCCCTTGGGGAACATGTTGATAGAAATGGTCATAGGCAAGCCTGGCCCCTTAGAAAATTTGATTCTGGTCCTCTTCCTGAACCACAGAAATCCACATTCATCTTCTATCAAACCCCGCCGCCTCCCACCCCCCCCTTACACACACTTCATTCCATACCAGTTAACTTAAACTTTCACAAATGAGAAGATGGGGTAGGAAAGAGGGAAAATATGAAACCATACTGACAATCTCACCAGTCCTGTATTTCCCATTTCACATAGATCATGGTTTATACATTTGTAACTTCAGCATTTACAACAAAACTGATTAGTACACAAGAACAAAAAAGAGAAGAAGAGAAAAAAAAAAAAAAAACCACCATTTTTGTTTCTTTTGACAATGAAGCAAAGAGACCCCACAGAGGTGAATGCCTTACTTTGTAGCCAGGAGCATGTTTTTTCTTGTCACTTGCTCATTGGGATCGGAATGCTGTCGGTTGAGAAATTCAGCTACTGCTTTGGCAGGAAATTCAGTTTCGCACACATACCCAAAATCTCTGGCTAGGTGGACGGCTTCTCCTGGCAAGAGGTAAGAGGGGGGAGAGCAAGAGAATGAAGAAAACTGGGATCAAAGCTTCCTCTCTGCTCTCAACTCCCTTATTTTCTCAACTCAGAAGTTGACTTAATCCACAAACTCACTGCTGTGTCACTATAAGTATTTTTATTTCCTTCTCTGAAAGACCCAGGGGGTGCACTCATCAGTGTAAATGACAGCTTGTCCTACAGTAAGGCTGAGATGATTTGGAAATGTGCCTCCTATCCCACCCCTACCTCCCCTGACTAACCTTTCCCCAACTTTCTCTTTTAAAATGATTCTTGTCTCCCAACCTCACACCTATCAACACATTCATAAATGATATTCATAATTACTCCTTGAGCTCGGGTGTAAGGGACATTGGAGGGTTTACATTTTAACTTGATCACATATAATTATCTGTTCATCCAAACCGATTAACCGAGAGGATTTGAGGGTCATTCCACTGAGTCTGTCTGTGTTGTTGATTTTCGAATCTTTGGTTTTAATTTCCTGAACCAGTTGGTTTTTACTGCAGGGCTTCCTGCCATTAGCTCCAGCTCCGGAAGAACGCATGCGCCAATTAGGGCATCAAAGCTCTTTCCGCAGAGCTTGTTTCCATAAAATGGAGCGGATCACAAACAATAACAGTTCTCCAAACTGCCTCCCTGCTACAGCGCTCAAGCCCCAGGCCCAGTCCAGCTCTGAGGCTATACCCTCAGCCACCACCACCATTTGCAGGGCATGTAATTCTTTTGGGGGTTATGAAGAGTGAGTCATCTACATACTGTCATGATTTTAAATATAATGCTACTGGAGTTGAAATTCTGGCACCAACCAAGTGCTGGGTTTTCAACCCATTACATTATTATATTTGACACCATTAATAAATGGTAATCAGAGGTTTCTTACACCATGTGTGCGTGTGTGTATGTGTGTGTGTGTGTGTGTGTGTGTTTGTGTGTGTGTGGTGGGGGGGGTGATGTACAAAGTGAGGACTTGAAGTCCACTCTGATAAAATCCAAGATAGAAATAAGATCAAATACCTTCTTTAAATGTAAGCATTAGTGTTAAGGCTGCCTGGATATAAATTACTAGCAATAATTTGTTCTATCAAAATGAGACAGAAAACACAAAGAAAAAAATATATGAGGGAACTATGTGTTTTCCCCAAATCAAACTTCACTTCAGCTTATTTAGTATCAGAAAACTTGGGAGTCTAGAGGAAGCAGAAGCAATAGTAGATTCTGGTAACCATTTTATCTTGAGCAGGAAGGTAGATTTTGCAGGCCTTTTGGTTTAGGGGTATGGAAGTGTGTGTGTGTGTGTGTGTGTGTGTGTGTGTGTGTGTGTGTGTGTGTTAGTTTAAAAGTTTCACAAGAAACTTTTTGTAGTTCATACATTTCTTTTTTTTTTCTTTCTATATTCAAACAAACAAGATAAATCTTTTAAAACTGTTCAACCACCACCCCCCTCCCCTGGAGAGAAAGCACAATTAAACAAGAGAGAAAAAAAACTACAAGGGCACCTCACCCTGAGCTTTCAGGACCCTCTTAAATCAGGATGCAGGTCAAAGATTCCCAAATTAATTCAGGAAGTAATGGTCACGCATTTCTCAAATGCAGATGTCAGAATAACTTAAGTGATTTACTGCTGAGTTCTTTAAAGGAGACAGGAACTTAGAGAATGTGCAGTTCTTCAATTTGTGCATTGTTCAGGTCAGGACTAGGCTTAGGAGGTGTAATTTTGTGGGAGTGAGGAAGAATGATAGGAATATATGCAAATAGGGTTGTTGGGGTTTTTTGGCTGACAAGAATTCTGTTCACTTCCGGTTATGGTCTGTGGAAAGACGAAACTGCCCAATTGATACAAAATATACCCAGACATCTGTACACTATAGTTAGAAGTCCCCTTCTAGTTAGCAAGGGGATTTACTTACCCTCCACTAGTGAAGTGAGCAGGGTAACGTTGGCAGCTTTACGTCTTCCTGCTGGCAGATTTAATCCTATTTTGTCCAGTTTTTCTCTTAAAGATCTTCCTCCATTTTTGGACTTCGCCCTGTTTCATAAATACATGCAAGATAAGGATCTAGAAAACACTGGGTCATTATGTGTTAAAGTCATTCTGAAAACTTCCTAAATTGTGCTTTTAAAAATTGAAAACTGGGGCGGGGGAAGAGGGAAAGAGGGAGAAAAACAAGAAGGGGTAACAATGTTGGACAAGAAATGTACTCATCACCTTATGTATATAACTGTAACCTCTGTATGTCACCTTGACAATAAAATTAAATTAAATTAAATTTGAAAACTAGCCAGTGGCTCACATCTTCAATCCTAACTACTCAGGACGCTGAGATCTGAAGATAACCAGGCCAGGCAGAAGGCTGTGAGACTCCTATCTCCAATGAACTACTCGGGGGGGGGGAAAAAGCCAGTGGTGGAGCTGTGGCTCAAGTGGTAGAATGCTAGTCTTGAAAAGAGACTCAAGGACAGAGCCAAGGCCCTGAGTTCAAGCCCCAGGACTGGCAAAGAAAAAAAAGGAAGGAAGGAAGGAAGGAAGGAAGGAAGGAAGGAAGGAAGGAAGGAAGGAAGGAAGGAAGGAAGGAAGGAGGGAAGGAGGGAGGGAGGGAGGGAGGGAGGGAGGGAGGGAGGGAAAACTGTGGCCCAAGACCTCCAAAGAAAGATCATGGAGATAAATACTTGTTAAACCATAAAGCACAACCCTCCTTCCATCCCTCCATTGTCACTGCCACTATTGTGGCTGGATGGAAGGTATCTCATTTCCCAATTCTCTAAAAAAGAGCCACAAACAAACATACACAGCTCTGATCTCTAGAGTTTGAGGTATTCTTGAGTTTAGATGATTGCTGTATATTTTCCCTGTTGTTACAATCACACAAATTCCCAATGGAGTCTTTAAATTGTCTTTTCAAGATCTGCTGTTAGGTTGTTCAGAGTAACCAAAGTTATCATCACTCTCACATTTCATGTGCTGGCTTTGGCCCCAAAGGGAAATTCATTTCACCAAGTGTTTACATGCCATGTCACCAGCATAACTGGAAATGTCAAGGGCTGATATCAGCCTTTAAATTTTTCGCTGGTTTCAGAGACAACGGAGGCGGTTCTAAATAGATGTCTAAATAGACTCCCGTAATCAGAAAGTGGTTAAGATAAATTGTTTAAATAAAACAGCAAATTAATTAATTTCAGATTTTATTCCCTACTCAAGGGCTCTTTAATTGTGTGGATTAGATTATACTCCCCTAGGTAAACAGCCTCCAATATTGGGGATGGGGGAAGGGAAAGGAAAGCAGGGGGCAGAGCAAAGAGCTGTGTCAGAAAAGATCAGGAAGGGAAGGCTAGGTGACTGGGAAGGAGGAAGAGGAGATGAGATGATCATGGACGTTAAAAACCTCCCAAACACTCTCCTGACCTATGCTCATTGGGGTGGAGCTGTGGGTCCATAAATACACATAAATACACAAGTCTTTGCCCTTATTTAGGGGAAAGGTAAACTCACAACACACACCGTGGGGGGAGAGCCCTCGCTCCAGGGAAAACTGTTTACCTAGCTAGCCCAGCAAGGTCTTATTGACGCTGCAAATCATGCCAACCCGAATGCACTGAATGCACGAACACGTGCTGTGCACGCTGGCACAGCTCAGTAAACCGGATTCCTCTCCTTTAGTCAAAGCCTTTTCCTCCCCCAAAACAATCCCATTCAAGGAATGGCCGGTGGCTGTTGGAGTCCCGGCAGACCGGTCAGGAAAAGCAAGGAGCAGGAGTTTTCCTGGGCTTGCAAGGTGTGCACTCAAAGAGAAAAGGCGGCTGCGCGGCGCCCCGCCGCTGCAGCAGCCGGGATTGAGCCCACGGCAGGAGTGAGCTACGCATGCGCACAGAGCGTTGGGTTGGGGGGCGGGAAGGGGGAAGAGCGGAGTGCCAAGTGTCCAAAAAGCGCGCCGCGGCCAAACCAGGCGCGCGCCCGACCCTTCGCACACACTAGCACGAGCTCCTGCGCGCGGCTGAAGCGGCGGACGGCGCAGGCGCGCGCTGGCTGGCCCCGCCTCCACATCTCACCCATTGGGCTCCACACTCTTCTTCCCGCCCCCTTTCATTTCCCGCGAAGGGAGGGCTGTGGCGCGAAGCCCGTTGGCCTGGCCGCCAACACCCAAGCGCAGGCGCAGTGTGTCCCCGGCCGCGGGGCGGGGCGGGTGGGGCCGGGCCTGGCCTGGGCCTCGCCTGGCCTCACCTCCGCAGTACTCCGCCCAGCAGCGACGCGTTGAGACACTCGGGCGGCGAGAGGCGCCGTTGCACTTCCGCCACCGTGACCTTGTACTTCGAGGTGGAGCTGAGGAGCGAGAGGCGACCCGGAACTGAACAGAAGACTTCGTTGGGGTTTACCACACCGCCGAAGAGGTTGTCCTTGTTAATGGGGATGGCGGAGACGGCGTTGCTGTTGGACTTGGACAGGGACACGGGGCCTGCGGAGACAGAGGCGGAGGCCGCGTGTGGGCGCCGAGAGCCCCCTTCCCGCCTCAACCCCACACCCCGGGCCGACGGGCGCGCGGCGGCCACTTGCCTGCCTGCCCACGCCGCACGGGGTCCCGCGGCTCTCCGCGCCCGCGCCCGCTGCCCGCCCGCGGGGCGCCGGCCTCCCGCGCTGCCCCGGGCCCGGCCGGCCGCGGGCCGCACGGCGGCATCGCCACCCCCGGGGGCCCCCCCGGACACCCCGGCCCCGTGGGCCCCTCGTGGGTGTGGAAGGCCCTGGACCCGCCTTCCTTTGCACCGTGAGCACACGTTAGGTGTCTCCTGATTTTTTTTTTTTTTTTGCGGAGAAATGACTTCATATCCCTATTATGAAAAGCAGCTGACCGTGTAGATGACCACAGGAGCATTTCAATCAAGGCACCCAGCCGCGCATGCCTACCCCCCCAACCCCCCCACCCCCCGTCCAGTAGACCCTGTCTTAATTTTCCATGTTGAAAAAGACTAAAAAAAAAAAAAGACCCAAGATGTTGGAGATCCCGTCCAAGGCCAGTCAAGAACAAGCCTGAAGAACATTTCCCCTTCTGTTCTTTTGTTGGGCAAACACTTCACAGTCTAAGGCCCCCCGCACAGGGTTAGGAGACACAGTATTCTTCCGAGTTAACACAACAAGCTTTCATTGTTGGTCCTACCATCGTTAGAAAAAAAAATAGATTTTAAGACCTCGAGCAAGGAAGTGTACTTCATAGGTTGCTTTTCTTAACACCGATGCAATCCACTTGCACTCTCAGCCATTTAAGTAGAGTGTACATTTGTATGTGTGTGTGTGTGTGTGTGTTAATTCCACATGGAGACCTAATAATGTGCCCACATTTTCATCACAGTGCTCTTCATGCGTTCTTTAATGGGGTATGCTAGCCGTATGGGGAGGTGGGGGGCTCTAGGTTTTGGATAGATCACTTGTGACATTAATAGCTCTGGGGAGGCTAATAGAGACAATAGGAGTTAAACGAACTCTTGAGAGATTACTAATAAAAGAGCCAATTATCATGTCGACTTGGAAAGAGCATCTCTTAAGATTTATCCCTTGCACATCTAATTTGACGTGACAAAGACTTCACAGATGCAAAAAACTAAATTTTAAACTAGCGAAAAATATACTGATTTCAGGTTAGAAACGAGAACCGTTTTATATAGCATCGTCTCTGGTAATGCCTAAAATCCTGAGATATAACATTACCACCATAGCCAAAGGAAAAAAAAAAAAAAAGCTGCTACCAAGAGTGAATAGCATTTCATCCAAGAAAGTTTATTTCTACTCACTATAAAATCCAGTATAAGTTACAAATCCATTCAAACACTGAACACTTCTCTAACAATTTCTGCTCTAAACAAATATGCTAATAATCTTGACATGTTCAAGATGCTAATTTTAACCAAAGCTAAATTTTGTTAACCTAATTCACAAAGTTTTTTTTTTTTTAATCTTTAGACAGCTAACCAGAAACTAAATTGAAGGACATGACACTTTATGTTCTTTGACAAGGAGTGTTTTTCATCATTGGTTTTTACAGTAATATAAAATCATGTGTACTACTTTAGCATGGTCCACTTCTTAACCCTAATGTTCTTAACTCCACACAACAACGAATTAAACTATTAAACCATTTTCAGAGTTAAAAATGCCACTTCCAAATCAGCTCAGTCAACTCTAGCACAACTCACGTGTCTGTCCAAATATCATTAAACTAAATTAAATGGTCAAATCATGAATCAGAACAAAGCTAGCCTGTTGCCACTACCCAGATACTGAAAGCTGATTATTTAAGCAAAGCTCCTCTATGCCTATCTGTTTGCTAATTCTGAGCCTTTAGGAAATCCTATTTGAAAAAAATAAATACAGCTCTGCAAGTTCTTTTAAATAGTACTCTGCTTGTAAGGACATGCTTGGAATGCAGAAGGAAATGGCTTACCTTTCTTAATTACAGTTTGATCTGGGATGTTAATACCCGGGTCTTCTACATGCTGCAACAAAAGGATACACATGGATGTAAGTGTGTAATCAAAACAAAAGGAAATGAATATTCCCTGTGAGGTGGGGGAGGGGAAGGCAGAGAATCAAAATTCTCCCTCCCTCATAATGACATTTATATACAAACATCTTATCTTGGCTTATTGGAATTTGGAGCTTTGCAATTCAAGAGGTTTCACTGCACACCCAAAGCCAGTATCTCCTCCCCCAGCAAATAATCCACATTTGAAGCGGGTGGGTGGAGGATAAAACTTTCTTTGGAAATTAAATCAAGTTTAGGGGAGTAACTAATCATTCTCACAGGCAGTAGAAGTACACCTAGCTTTAGTCTGGCATCTCAGCAGCTTCTGCAGCCAAAGCCAGAGAAGCACAATAGAAATGACAGGGGCGGAGGTAACAGGAGTGTGCTGGAAACCCTTTGGGTAGTGTAATAAAGAGCAAGCACATGCCTTCACTTATATTTAAAAAAATAATATTTAAAGACCACTGCCTAAACTAGATATGACAGGACTGTGAAAATGGTTCAAAACAAAAACCTTTGGAGGTTGCTTTCCTGTTGTCCAGTAACACATTTGCCATTGGTGAGGTTTCTTTTTTTTTTTTTAAGATGGATGGATATATGTGTGTGCTAGAGTCAAAACGTGATTAGAAAGTAAAATGAAATCATGTTTTCTAATGCAGAAACTGACAGGCAATATAATGTCTGGCTGTGTTTACAAATTAGCACCAGTGCTGCTGAGATAGAAGATTTCACAATCGTTACCAAACACAGGCATTACCATTTAAAAAACTATTACTTCCTTCTCTAGTCTTTGTCCAACAATAATACTGATTCGAACATTTTCCATTCTGTCTTGGATTTATGCTCCTGTTAATTGTGCCTGATCGCAATGATTCCGGGTGGATGGTACTAAGTTGCTTTATTACAGGTTTTATTATACTCAATGCTCTCATTTGTAACTTGCCTAAAGTGCTTCTGGATTTAAGTATAATTAAATTGAGAAATGTTCAGAAATGACTAGTGCTACAGTTCTTATGTTTTAACTATATGGGAAATATGATCCCTCTATGCATGCACCCTAAACCCATAAAGTAAATGTAGTGTGGCATAATACTTTTATTTGTGTTATTTCTAGACCTTGTCCATATAGGGAAGACTGCTAAATTTAAAACCCCACTGAGATACTAATGATTAAATAATTTTCACCATCGATTTGATTTTCTTAAATATTTAGCAGACTTTCTTATTAAAGGTTAACTGTTGCAGCTTGGGAAAATTGAAAACAACCCCTTTCCTGACCCAAATTCCTTTGAAAGAATTTTTTTTCCCTTAAAAGGTGGGGGAGGGAGAAGGAAGAGCAGCAACTGGCTTTCCTTGGCTTTGATTTGCTCTTTCTGCTAATTTCTCCTACTGGCTAATTTTACCACAAAGAATCACCACACAGGTACTAAGAATTCCCACCAGCCACTACCTGAAATTTTTGCAAAGTAGAGCAAAAGGTTACAATATTGCAATTCAAATATTCCAAACAAGGTAAAGGATTCAGAGACACTTTGGGAAATGGAACTTTAAAAAAAATCACTTCTAATGATTTTTTTTAATGCTTTCTTTATAAATTACTACCCTGCTCATTTTACTTCCCAAAATATGCACTGTTAAGTAGCAGTTTTTAAAGACATGTAAACATGAACACACACTGCTGGCTGGCCCTTCTACTAGTTCAAGTACCTGCCTTCCTGTTCTCCAGGCAAGGCTGCTAAACAAAACCAACAAATTGTAGTGATTAACTGAGCTAAATGAGAGACGCAATAAATTTTCTATTTTTCCTATGGAACTGAAATAATGTTTAAAATCCACTAAGTGAGCAGGTAGGTTCATGTGACCATTTCCTCTACAGTCTAATACAGTAATCATTAAACTGTCAACGGACATACTGCTGCTATATTTGATGCAGTAATTTGAAATAGCATTTTAGCAAAAATCACATCCAGATACATTCCCTTTCCAAAGAAAAAGCAGCTTTTACAGAAGCCTTTACAGCTTTAATAAAATTATTGGCTTGCTCTAATTCCATTTCAAGAAGGTTGTGAGGAAACTATAAATATATAGAATTGAAACAGAGATGCTGGTTTAAACATAATTTTAGAGAGAATTTTCAAATTATCAATCTCCTGGTTTGCATTGTAAACAGTAAATGTGCTAATGCCATGCTTATTTAGAAACCATCTCAAACTGCATTTATTGATAACTGAATTAGAACTCAAATAACATATTACTCAATAGTCTCTGAACATTTAACTTAATAGAGAGTGTAGCCAGTTCTGATAGGCATTTGGGAATCTGGCTAATGATTTATGAGGTCAGCACTTAGCACCCCTAGGAAGAGAACAGAGTTGAATTTTAATATCCCTCTGCTTGGGTCTGCAACTTACTTTTCTTCAATCGGGATAGGATATAAGTAACTTTTAGGTTTGCCTAATGCTTATAAGATCCAGCTTAAAGGATCTCAGTAGGTCTCTCTCGCTTCTTTTACATTGTGTGGCTATTTGAGGCTCTCGGTGAAATCTTAACATCTTTCGCAGGACAGAGAAACATCCCCACGCCAGACTCAGCGATGGAACTAGATCCTCCCGCAATCCGTTTACTGTCGGAGAGGGGATCGGATGGTTAATGATGACACTCGTCTGATTTATTCCTGTGTCGGTGGTAGTGGCCATGGAGGCATTGTTTCAGGCAGCTCCGGGAAACCATTGTTCTGGGAGCAGAACTCTCAATTACTTTTTAATTCTTTTTTAAATTCAGTTGTTTATTGGGTCCTTCAAGTATTTCCCTCCCCTCCCTCCACAAACGTTTTATAAAGGAAAATATATAATAAATATATCATATCTGCATATATAAATAAATAAATATATATATATCTCATTTAGGCAAACCCAAGGCTCCCGGGATGCTTGTTGCCAGTATCTTCTTTAAAACTAGGTGCGCAGGGCGTTGCGCCCCCCTTCCGAGCGGCCTCTTACCGGGACGTCCTCGATGGCGTGAGGTAATGCGTGGATAGGGAGGTCTCCGAGTCCCGAGCCGAGCCCGTGGGGGCCGTGCAGGAGGTCCTCGTGCCGTCGGTAGTCCCTTCGAGGATCCAGGCCCGACAGCTGATGTGGCAGCCCCCGGTGCGGGTGCAGGAGCCCAGACTCCTGGCTCTGCCTCTGGCCGGGCCAGCCCGGGTGCTGCGGCTGTGGCTGGGCGTGCAGGGGGTTCAGGCTGTAGGGGTCGTTGACGTGGGAGTAAGGATCTTGCGACTGGGGGTAGATAGGCTGGTAGGGCGGGGGAAAGTAGGGGGGCTGGAAGTCGGCATTAGGGGTGTGGGACAGCGGCGGGGCGCTGGTGTAGGGAGATTGACCTACAGTGCCCAGCTGGGGCAACCGTGCCGTCCCGTTGCTGGTGCCGTCGTGACGGTCCTGGAAGGGGGCGAGAGAAAGGAGAGGGGGGAAAGAACAACAACGAGAAGTCAGGCGTGGAGTTCAGCTGTTCCCACTCAATACACGCGGCCAGCCTGGGTGGGAAATTGCCCGTTCCCCGCCCCACCCCGTAGGCCACCGGGTATGTGTGTGTGTGTGTGTGTGTGTGTGTGTGTTGGGAGGGTTGGGGGTGGGAATCAACTCTATTCATTTAGGAAAATAGCCCCCAAGTAAAACAGGCCCTTCCAACAACGCGAAGGAATTAGATTGTGTAAATAACAGGGACACGAGCGACACTCCTTAGGCGGTTCATTCAAAGGAGGGGGAAAAGATCCAAAAGGGTCTCCTGCAATAGAACCCGTTAAATTGCAGCATAAAAACCTCCCTGAAGCAAAATTAAAACTCCTACTAAATATTAAAGAGCAGAAGCGGCCTTTTCCTTTCTCCCCAGATTTGAAATCGGTCTGCTACCGCGTTATTGTTGACTCTCTTCCATTTCTTTGGAGGGGGAAAAAAATCATAAACCTTCAAAGACTATTACCGTTTCATGACTATTTAAATAGAAACATATTTCTGCGCATGGGGGGCTGTAACGAAAGCACACGTTTAAATTACCAGCTTAAAGAAGGTTTTAACTGCAGGATCAGGGGGTCTGTGTTTTCCGCTTCCTCGCTTAGGAGCCTTTTCCACCACAGGGGCGATTTATGATATGAATGGGGGAGAAGGGAGGCATTCAGTCAAGGTTTAAAACAGATTCAGCCTTTACTGGGTTTGGAAAAGAGAGGTGCACCCCAGAGCGGGGGGCGCCCCCCCTCCCCGCCTTTCCACCCCAGCCCCAAAGGGCAGAAGAAACGCCTGACTTTATATTTCTCTATTGCAATTCAAGCAAAGAGTTGATTCCAGGGAATTCGAGCCCTCGGAGGCTCAGAGGCAGGCCCCCGAGGGTAAGGGCAAACCGAGCTGCGTTTTTCCTACACGTAGACAAGATTAAGAATCAAATGTGGAGACGATTTCGGGAACCAGGAAGGGCGCAAGGAAAATAAAGAACGTGGCAAGAAGCGCCTTGGGGGAGCAGCTGCGGGGTAAGTCTGCAAAGAGGTAGAGCAAGAGGCGGGCTGTGGGGGGGGGGGGGGTGGCATTGCATTCGAATGAGGAATGGAAAAGAAGAGCGAGAGATGGGAGGAAAGGGGGGCGAAATGCAATGGACAGGGGGGAATGTCTTGAAGGAAACGGAGTCCGGGAAGCCCGAGTCTTTCAGGCTGCTTCGCCGTACCAGGTTTCCAAGCCTTCAATTCTTAAGGAATCAGGGAATGAGGGATGGAGAGGTGGAGGCGGGGGAGGGAGGCTGGGGAGCGGGGCTTGGGGAGAGGGGGGGCGGACGGGACTCACCATAGCTGAAAAACTGTGAACTAACATCTGCGAAGAGTCTGGGGTAACCAGTCAGGATGGAAAAATAAAAAAAACCAACAACAACCAAGCAAGCCTGGGTGGAGTACGGGGCTGCCCCGCGGCCCGAGCGCGCCCCGACACAAAAGGCACCGAGAGCCCCCGCGCCACCTCGGGCTCCGGTCACCGCGCAGACGCTCCGGCGAGCGCGGGGGACCCGCTCGGCTCCATCCGAACTTGAACCACCGATTCGCTCGGCGCCTTCCGCTGCTCCAACTCACGGGCTCTATCCTGCCGTGATCGATTCTAAGTCAAAAAGTTCTTTTTCAAAAAGAAGAAAAAGAAAAAAAAAAAAAGAACCCCCCTCCCCAAAAAAAGGCAAAAAAAAAAAAAGTGTGTGTGCGTGTGCGCGCGTGCGTGCGTGTTCCTTAGTAATCCGTGTCTCCCCCTCTTTCTTAGCGGCGGCTTCACTTGAGCTTCTAATAACCGCGCTGGCCAGCGTTCCTGGAGCCTCCTAATAGCAGATATTCATGACTATTAATATTACACGAATACTTAATAAGGGAAGAATGCCTGGAAATCGAGCGTGAAGCGGAGAGGCAACTCGCGCCGGAGCCGGCTCTCAATGCAGTCCATTGACGGGAGTCTCAGTGTGGCAAATCGGAGGTGGGGAGAGGGAGCGCGAGAGACAAAAAGCGGGCGAGAGAGGGAGCGGGCGAGCGCGCGGGGGGCCGCGGCGCGGCGCCTGGCGAATCACAGGGAAGGGGCAACATTTTAAAAGGTTGCGGGGCATGCAAAACTGAAAGAGAAAGAGGGGGACGGGGAGACCGAGGCAGAGGGCGCGGAGAGGGAGAATGCGTCTGCGAGCGTGTGTGAGAAAGAAAGTGTGGGCGAGGGAGAGGAGCTCGGAGTGGGGAGAGGGGAGGGAGGGAAGGAGGGAGAGCCCGGAGAGGAGGAAGGGAGGGAAACAGGAGGGAGGGAGGGAGGGAGGAGGGGGAGGGGGCTGAGTCGGAGCTCACGAGGGGGGGGGGAGGTGGGAAGCCGCGGGGAGGGGGAGGGGAAAGGAAGCGAAGAGAGGACAATCAGACCTAAAAGGCTGGGGCAGACCTCGGGATGCGGCGGGGGTCGCGGGTAGCGGGCGGGAGCTGCCGGAGACCGCGTCCGGGCGTTCATCGGGCTCTCCGATCCGGAGATGCTCCCCGGTCCTCTCCGACCCCGGGCTTCCCGGCTCCTCAGCCGGGCCTGGGAGTCGGGACTCAGCTGCCCGCTGCCGTGCCTCTGCTCCTCCATAACCCGGTGCCTGCCTGGGGACCAAGCCCGCCCACTTCACGGGCCCTTCTCCCCTCCTCGATCTCCTCTCCGAGCCCGGGGCTGTGCTCTCTCCGTGGCTGCTGCTGTTCTGCGCCCTGGGCTCTTTGGCAGTCCGGGTTCCGAAAGCCCGGGCCAGGACGCGGCCCCGGGCGCGCACAGACGCGAAGCGGCCCAGCTAGGGCGCCGCTGGCAAGGGCTCCCGGCTCAAACCCGTCCGACTGGCTGGGCCACTCCCGCCCGACGCCCCCCCCCAGATGACACGGCTAGCTCTCTCCGCGCCCGCCGCTGCCAGTCCGCCCGCTGGGTTGTCAGAACAAGCGGCACCTCGCCCCCGGCGTGTCCCTGCAGAACCCCGGCAAAAATCAAACAGCCCCGAGCCGGCTCGGGAAACCCGAAATCCCCGCTCCAGCGCGAGCTGCCGTCACCAAAGTTCTGACTTTACCCTCCTCTTCCCCCCTCTCTAACACACACATTCACGCGCAGCCCCCCCCCCCAGCCCCTCTGGGGGTGCAAGTTCATCCCTGCCTTTCCCCTCCGGAGCCTTTCGGAAGAGGTTCGGAACCCGCCCGCGCCTAGAAGTGGGTTTTGGCCTCTGTGAAATGCCCTAGCCTGGGGACCAGAGCTCAGAACCGGTACAGAAGGAGACCCCCCGGGGGCTCGGTGTCTTGCAAACCTGCCAGCAGCCCCCCCCACCCCCACCCCCGCGCCAGCCAGGCAAACAAAGCGGCTGGCCTGACGTGGGGTCCCGGCGCCCCTCCCTGGGCGCGACAGGAGCCCCCCGAGAAACGCCAGTACCGGTGGGATGTCACCCGATGCCCCCTCCACCGGGAAGGGTGGGGGTGGGGAGGCAGGAAGGAGCGCCTGGAAGGAGCACGAAGTAAAATAGTATTCAGAGAGAGAGAAGGGAGAAGGGAGCGGGTGACACATCGTTCACATAAACCCAGTTTCTGATTTCAAGTAAAGACAAGACTCCCGTCGCTGCGCCCTGGCGCAGACGTCGCGGGCCGGAATTCCCAGTTCCAAATGCCAAAAAGAAAGAAAGAAAATGGAGGGGGCGATGACAAAAGTCAGGGTCGCTAACGCATTCAGGTATTCTGGTCTCGCCCACCCCTCTCCTCTCCCCGGGACGCATCAGTTCCTTTCAATGGGGTTTCAAAAGGGAAGTTGAGGCCGGTTCTCAGTGACTCCAGCGAGCGGATGATTTCGTTCTCTGGCCTCGCCTGCAGCCCTCAAGAAGTCCAGCTCTTGGGAACCAATTGAGTTTTAAAATAGGTTCCAAAGGGACGCGTTCTGTGGGCCCGGCGAACTGGCGGCACCAAAGGCAGCCAGTCACTGCCAGGATTCCCACGGTCGCGCAGCTGAGCGAGTGCAGGGGCGGGTGCGCCGGGACCCGGACCGGCCAGGAGGCTCCACACCGCGCGTCCTCGCCACCGCCACTGCCACCTCCGTAGGGGTGTAGCTCGGCTCGAGAAGCCTCTTAGAACTTCTTGAAACGCAGAGACTCAGGCGTGAGCACCGCAGCCAGGGTGAGTGCTCTACTAAGCCGAATCCTTTTACAGAAAGGTGCAAGCCGGGTCCAAGCAAAGTGTGCGGGGGAGGGGAGGGCCCTGTCTCCAGATCCAAGAGGAGACCCCCCCCCCTCCTTAGAAAGAACGGAAGGAAGAAAGGAAAAGAGGAGGAGGAGGAGAGGAAGATGAAATAAAATAGAAGAGAGGAAGTCACAGGGGGAAAGGGCTTTCTTTTCCTTTCTCTTCTTTGTAAGTTGGGCCCCCAGATTCTCGTTTAAGACACAGGCGGAGTGCATAGGCGCGTGCCTAATTGCCAGCAGTTGTTTCCAAAACCCATTCTCAATTCTTCGTTCCCCTCTTAGGCATAGCCAAAAGTGGTCAGAAAAAAAAAAAGTGGGGGAAGGAAAAGTAGGACACGATCTTCCAAGTGAGGAAATGGAAAAGAAAAAAGAAGAAGAAAAAAAAGGAGCGTCCGCGTCCTCCCGCTCCAGTTTCTCCCCGGAGTACTCCGCGCGAATCCGAGGGGCGGGTGCTGAGCTGGTGAAAGTTTGTTCCACCCGCGATTCGCAGATGGCTTGTTGGGAGAGGAGGTGGAGAGGGAGGGTCGATCTCCGGAGCCTGTGGCCGCAAAGAAGACTGAGCCGGCGCCACGCTTACCTCGCAGTCTTCGTACTTGATATTATCCGTCAGTTTCCAAAGCATTTTCATGGGTCGGCGTGAACGGATTTGTCCCTCTCCGCCTCGCACCCAAGTGGAGCTACTCTCGGGGTAAGCGCAAAGTGCAGGCTGCCGGCGGTAAGCTCGGGAGGAGGAGGAGGAGGAGGAGGAGGAGGAGGGCGAGGAGGAGGAGGGAAAGAGGAGGAGGGCGAAGAGGAGGAGGTGGAGGAGGAGGAGGAGGGTCAGGAGGAGGAGGAGGGCCAGGAGGAGAAGGGCTTGGAGGAGGAGAAGTGTAAGAGCTCCCGTGTGCGCTCGGAGGTCTCCCTCTAATGGTAGAAACTTTTCCCTTTTCCAGCTCGGCACCAACAGCCTAATCGCCTCATTAGCATATCAACAATAGTCCAATTGCTCGCCAGAACCACATTCTGCCGCCGGCTGCTCGGACCCAGGTATAAAGGCCTCTCCAAGCCTGGACCTGGCTTCCAGAGCGCACGCCTGCTTGTTAGGCGACAAAATTCTCCCAGAACTCCACTCGCTCCCTGGTCCCAGTGGCCCTCACTCCAGCCCAATTTCATCCCATTCGGCTTTCTCTCGCTCTCTCTCGGCTTCCTACAGGCTAGAGATGCCCCCACTAACGCTGGATTATACGAAGAGTCCGAGTGGCTGCGTCTAGGGACCGTCGCCACCATTCAGGCTGCCCTTTCGGCCCCGTCCAATTTTATTAGAAATCATTACCCCTTTCGCAATTAAATATAACCACCAAACTAAGACCAGAGAAGCCACTCCAGGATTTTTGCCCAACAAGAGATCGCCTCCACTCATGACAGCTAACCCCTCGGGGCCGCAGCGTCTTGGGAGTTTTATTGGCTTTTGCGCATTCCCCCAGGATGGAGATTTTGTCAAAGGGCTCCGGGTTTGCTCGGCTGGGGTTTGCAATCTCTTAATTGCTGTGTGTATAATAAAAGTTGTACCCTGAAGAGGTTACTCGACAGCTCCAGGGGTTAAATGATTTTCCTCGGTTTGTATGAAGCTGGGGCCAACTGACAATTCAACATGATGTTCGGGCTGAGGCTTCCCAGGTGCGACTTAGAAAAGACTACAGAACTCCTATGGAGACTCCAGTCGCTTCCGCAGTGAGCCAAAATGCAGAGCCGCGTGCGCCTGCAGATCCATACCCAGTCATACATGCATCAAAATAAATCATCGGGAACCAACACTTCTCTCTACTAATCTGCTCTGGTTTTCCCAAGATTCCCCCTTTTAATTAAAGAAGGGAGAGTTCCATTATGATTTGATGTCACTACGCGGGTGCACAAGCGGCGCAGTGCCCGTCGAACCAGAAACCGAGAGGCCGGGAAGTCACCCCCTTGTCCAAATAGGCTACTTCGGGTTCTCAGGCTACACAACAGAGTCTGTTTGCTCCATTGGGATTTTTTCTTCCGCTTCTTCTCCCCCTTGTTTTAGGGAATTTTTTTAAATAAGAAAAAAAAGTAGGGGAGACCTAATTTGATATTTTAGAAATACAGAGTAACTTCTTTGGCTGACCTTTCCTCTTGTCCACACACACACACACGTTTCCATTTGTCTTTCTTCCTGTGGAATGCCACAAACCCCTAAACAGTAAATCTCCTCTTACCTCTGGTTCATCTGGGTCTGTTTCTCAAAAAAATCTCCCAGATTTCTAAAATATATCCTGTATGGAGGCAGAAGCTGTTTGCAAATCCCAGTGCTTCCTAACAGGTGGGATTAAAGGCAAGGGAATGGAAAAACCTCACCCCAACCCCATGCAACCCTGAAGTGGGCCAATTCTCCCTCCAGAGGACTTTTCTTCTGGGAGGCCCGATGCCTCCCAAAGGCTGGAGATAAGGCTAGAGCTGGCAAGGGAATCCAGTGCCAGAGGGATGAGCCTTGGAGCCCTGGGCACTCCCTTGCAACCGGCTTTCCTTGCCTGAACAGTTCTTTGGCTGAACGGGCACCCCACTCTGCCTAGGAAATTGTCTACTTCCAGGGATGGACCCTGTGGGTCTGCCCCAGGGCCAGCCGCCCCGCACAATGACTTGATGTCAGAAACTGGGCCACCGGGAGCCGAGTACCGCTTACTCCGCCATCCTCCCTGCGGCACCCATACATACCCCTGGTCTGTGACCTGTAGGCCAAATTCTAGGCCTGAGAGCACAATGTTTTACACCCAGCAGGCTTGCGGTAGTGCTTCAGGGAACTCTTAAGTTTCGTTTTCTTCTCCTTCTGCCCAAGGGCTGAAGAAGGCCTTTCGGACTCTCAATCCCACCTCTCCACCCCTCCACCCCAGTCCCGAGCCCCGCTGATCTCTGGCTCCACACCCGCAGGGATTGCTAAATTGTTGTGTATTCCTGCCAAGGGCGCCATTGAGGTGTAGATTGCGGCCTGGGAGCCCTCAGCAGCTGCCTGCAGTGTGCGCACCGATGAAAGGCTAAAGAGGGAGCCAGCCCAGCCCCGGCTGAGCGAGCTTCATTACCTCAAGTCACTTGTCAAAGCTGAAACCCCGCTGGGTCCCCAGTTCCCTGAACTGTAGCTTCAGACCTGCGGTTAGGGCTGAGGACTCAGGCCTGACCTGGGGATATGGAGAATATCTCTAGCATCCGTGACAGACAGAAACTCGGAGGGGAGACATAAGCGCCAGATGGACCCTATAACTTGTGGTTGTCACTGCCCAATAAAGCCAGGTGCCCAACTGGACGAGCCTGGTGAATCTGGCCCTTTGGGCCCCAAAAGTGCTTCTTCCACCAAAGATTCAAAC